TTATTATTCTCGATCGCTTGTTATTCTACTACAAAAAAAAAAAAAAATAAATGAAATTAACGTACTCGGCAAGATGTCTTCGAGTCCTCGATTGTTCTGCTCTGTAAGATTGAGCAATGCAGTAAACATCACCCATTGCAGGAATGCACGTTTCAAGATAAAGTTGAGAACTTTGAGTTAAGTAAGCTTCCTCACTATAAACATTTATTTGAGTCAAATACTGAATGCAATAAATTGCAATAAAAAATGCAGTTGAAGTAAATGTTACCCAAAGTAATCGAGTTTAAACAAAGTTGATCCTCCTTCAACTTGGGTTTGTACAAGAGTGGGAGGAGTTACTTCACAGTACCCCCTGTCTTTGTAGTGATCTCTAAATGCTTGAGTTAATACCGATCTCATAATTAAGATTCTGGAAGTCTGAGATATGATTAACAAAATTATTGTAACTATTAATCACAATTACTCGTCTTTTTAACAAAAAATAAAGGTGTACATACATTTTCTCCTCTAATCATTATATGCCTGTTATCTAGCTGGATATCAGGTTGAGCTTCTTCATTTAAAATTGCATCAGCACCTCCAGGTGGAGAGTTTCCTATAAGTTTCCAATAGTCAACATGTAATTCGAGTCCACCAGGAGCCTGAAGAAAATAAAATAATACTGATTGTTTGAGAAATGAACAATAAAATCAAACAGAAAATACCGTTTTTCCTTCTGGAACAGGTTTCAGTGTACCAAATAATTGAACAGAAGCTTCAGTGTTGAGCACAAGAGCATCATATGTTTGACACAATTTGTCATTTAATATGCATTGTAAAAATCCCGATCCATCTCTCAAAGTAATAAACATTAATGCTTTCCCTACAAAAAAAAAGCTGTAGATTTTTTCACATCAAAACACAAGAAACAGTCATTGATTACATTTTAGCGAATACCTTGACGCCTCAATCTATGGACCCAGCCAAAAATTTTAACCCTTTGCTCAATGTGCTTTTGTGCCCGATTGATTTTGACAAGTATAGCTTCAGGTAAAGATTTATCTTCTTTAATCACAATAGACTTGGCCTCCTCTAAATTTTTTATTCTTTTTTCCTCATCTTCTTGCAATTTTTTTTGCTTATCTTCACTTTTGTATTGCTCTCTCACCCAAATTTTTTGAACCTTTTTTAATTGCGATTTAGCAGCCAATTCATATTTTTTATTCTCTTCTTTTGCATCTTGATATATTTCAGGGAATGGCTCTTTACCTGCACTTCTCATAGCCTGAAGTATTGTTTTGAATGGTTTGGATTCAGTTCCGTCTCCATTCTCGTCGCTGCCATTCTTTTCGGACGTATAAATAGAACCTAAAAGTATTAATTTATTTAAAAATTAATCCATTTTAACGTGTAGTAAAATAACTTACTCAGAACTGCTTTGGTATCAGCATCAGGCATGTTGAATGATTTTTTAGTTTCCAAGTAAAATAAAGTCTGTACCAATGTAAAATTAAAAAAAAAATTAAGTAATCAAGTGCATCAACAAAATTTTAATCAATTCTTTATTATTTGTTTTTCTGATAAGAGACTTGCGTGAAAAAATTATTTGCACAGCTGTAAAAGAAGATTTACCGTAGTATTTTGCGCAAACTAACCTTGCGTATGAATCAAGTGTACGATACGTGCAAAGTAAAGGAATTCATAATTTTAGCAGTTGCAAAATAATATATGGTAAAAAAAATTTACTAACTTGTACGTAATACAATAACAAATTATAAGTACAGAAACACCCCTAAAAGTAAAACTAAACTTGAGAACACATGCACTATTGTAATTTATTATTTATTGAGTACAGCTATACTTAATTGTACATGTTTATAGTAGCAAAAAGCTTCAACAAATTGTTGTAATAAAACGTAAACAGATAGAAATTAAATTACTAACTGAACTAAAAATGATGCAATAAAGGTTGTAAATACATATGAGAAACTCTTCTCACAATGGCACAGAATGTCTCTCAGCAGCCTGCGGCAAATGACTGTGCACACGACTGCACAGTGTTATGTGCCGTGTCGTGTGACTCGTGTGTCGTCATGTGTCGTGTCGCCTGTCGCATGCAATGCAGCTGCTCACATGAGCTTTTAAAAAACTCAGCTCAAGTTAGGTTTAGGTGGTCCCTATCCCTACCCTACCGTGTCCCTGTCTTACTTCGCGTGGCACCAAATGTCCGTGGAGGGAACAGCCGGAACAGGGAACCACTGCAGGGGGCGAGTTGTGCGAATTTGCATTACCTCTTCTTAAAGCTCTCTTAAGCCCGATCTACAAGAATTTTTCCAGATGGGTATTAAGTACAAGTAAAAAGTTATCTTGAGTAACCATCACTGAAAAAAAACGTCTGTCGTCTAACACCGCGTATCAAATACTTATTTTGTATGAAAAGAAATTTTGAAATAAGAATAACGAAAGCTCGTACTCTAAGAACATACGAAAATGTAAAATATACTTACGTAGTAGTTACTCTGATAATACATACTTAGGCTATTCTCAACAAATGATATACAAAATAAAGACCCAAGTATAGTCGAGCTGTGTAAGTTCCATACACACACGCTCGTCTGATAACTCGTATACTACATGGGGCACACCAATCATTCGTTTTAAAGAACACTTTCATTTCCCAATAAATTATGTTGTAGCTATATGCCAATAATAATAATAATAAGACAGTGACTGGTAAAGTTTCGTTTCAGGTTAACTTTAAACTGAGTTACAAATTAACCATCGCACATTTAGAGTGATGTCGACATTTGTATGTATATCAATAAAATAGTTCACACGTGTCTCATATGGTAAAAAGTTTGGTAAAAGAAAAATACACATTTCGAAGTGCTCCAGCAGGCCTGCGCCAACGGGCGCAATACAACGTCACTCGCAACTCGGGCACAAACGCACGTAAGGCACAATATATGACGCTAAGTACAACTTTAGCACCCGAAAGGTCGAGCTTAGTACACGTTTGCGCCCGAGTGACGTTATTTTTTTTGCAGAGCGCAAAGAGCTTCCCGTACTCTGCAGCCACATGGTAAAAAATAGAGGTTTTAATCACAGAAGCGCGCCATCGCCCCCGAGTCTATTTTGCGGTCGCCGGTATACAGGCACCCTTAGGGGTATACAGACCCGGTTGGATGGCGCAAACACTATTTTTCCTACCGAGGGCGCGTGACATTATACGATGCGGGTGTTCCGCAGACGCGAATTGTGGCTTGGCATCGAATTTTCCAACATTGCGGAAAAGTCGGCTCGACCGGAACAAGAGAAGTGGGAGGCCTATTTTTTTTTTTTTTTTTTTTTTTAAATCCCTCACTTATACTTCTATCTCGTCTCTGGTTCTCCTTTTAGCGCCTCAATACAATTTCAAATTCGCTTCTCCCTCCGCCAAGCAGTGCGAGTGATTGTTTCCGACATAATAAGCGTTGAAATAAATGTACACTTTTTTTTAGTGCGCGTCGCACCCGCACACATGCAATGCCGTACCATTAGATGAATAAAAAAATGGATGAAGCCAAAGAAAAAAAAAAAAAGGAAGCTACGCGCACAAATAGAGAAAGAAGCAAAGTGCTAATAAGCGATGGATAGGATTCGTTTATTTCGTTAAGTTAAAAGTGGCTTGATCATTTTTGTACGAATGTCGACATGGTATACAAAATTAAAGACATTGTAATTACATCGTTATAGATCTAAGAAGAAACAATAGCCTATAGTTGTCGACTTCTTTTTCATGGAAATCTAAAGAAAAAAGAAAAAAAAAAAATGTTTTTTGTAACAAGCATTGCTCAGTCTTATCGCCTGGTCATGTGTTAAAATTTAATGATTATTATATCGATTTCATATTAACGATACGATAACGAAACATAGGCTTCAAGGTATACTTCTGCGACATGTAGCAATAGCAACTAAACGATTAAATTGTCATCAAGAGACAAACGAAATATCACTTATATTTTTTCATATTAAATGATGATAGTTTTTTAAATTTAAACAATCAGCGCTGTATAGTCGCACTAAAAGTTTCCCTTTCTTTGGAAAAAAATGTTCTTTTTGAGGCACACCTCTAGAAACGGCCTTCTTTTCTTAGTAATATCATGTATTTATAATACAAAACAAAAATCACGAATGCAAGTTTTAGTCAATGTAACACTTTTTTTAATTTTATCTGAAATTTAACAATACTTATAAATTGTAGAATAACACGACCGAAGAAAATTTTCTATTATTATTTTTTCTTATAGCTTTACTTAGTTCCAAGTGAGTTTGATACACGTAAGAAAAAGAAAATTAAAAGGCTTATCAAATGAAAGTTAATAAACCACGCATTTATTGGTTGTCTCGACTAAAATTTACAAATGATGCAAGCGAGTCTTTTTAATAAAATATATGAACAAGGAATGAAATACTTTTTTTTTCTTCTGTATTACACAGGTTCGTGCAGGTACATTTGAAATAATTAGCAGTACATGTGCACCCATATATGTATCTAACTATTTACTGTTTGCTAAAAACAACTAATTGAGTGAGACGCATAATACTGTACCTGATGTACATCAGCCGTCCAAATTAACCTGTTTTGGTTCCTCGTACAGGAAACATCGTATTGATAAAAAAAATTAGTTTTTTTAAAAACAAATCAAAATTACGTCTTACTATCTTACGTAGTTATATTTTTTTTAATTCAGAATTTAAAATTTAATATTTTAATCCGTATGGCAGTTTGAAAAAATATTCAAGTTATATATCTTTTAGTTGATAATGCAATTTGTCAATTTTAAAAAAAAAAATGTTTCTAATTATTTTGGAATCAAGAAATTCTTACATTAATTTAAAAACTGTTTTGCTTTGCCAAGAATAATTTTTTTTTTTTTTTTTATACCTAAGTCATCCCGATACGATATGTCGATCCTTATTTGATGGAGGACCAAGTCGTCTGAGAGCAACTTTAATTTAACTCTTTTATAACGAGATACTTTCGTACTTCTAGAGAAAGAGGGAAATTGGGAAAAAAGGGATAAGATGGTATACGGCACAACACAGAAAAGAGAGTACAAAGTAACATTTTTACGTAATAAATTTTATTATTTTATTTGCGCATTGAATGTACATTTATAACAATTCATATATACATACAAGTGATTTATTAATAAGTTATAACGAAAGAAATATTTGGGAAAATTAATTAATTGTATGAAAAAGTTCAACGTATCATTTGGTCGTTCTCCATATGAAAAAAAAGAATCCGAAGCATGTATTAGTAAAATTAATGCATTCATGCGAGAATATAAAATTGTTTTATACATGCTCCTAAATAAGTACACAAATAAATATGCATAGTTTAACAAAAAATTAGATATGTTAATAAACGACCGACCAGAATTTTAACAATATTTGCCGTACGGTAAATACGGTCGTAAGGGCTAAAGTTTGCAAAACAAACAAACGAATGATTTTAAGATTGGGAATTGGCAATACAATTTCGAGATCCTGTGTATGACCCGCTGGTCAACGACCACTTTGGGATCGATTGCCATTATGACTGTTTAAATATATTGTTAAAAAAAAAAAAAATCAAAATTGTCGATAGTACCGAAACATCCAAGTACAAGAGAGTCCGATTTCCGGAAAGTGAAGAAAACAGCCGTAATAATTCAACAGGGCGAATGGCAGCTTAAAACAGCGAAATTCGTTTGGTGATCGCCATCATCGGCCTGACAATGCTCGCGAGCCAATAGCTGCCAAAATAAGCTGGACTCACCCACTCAAGGGCATTTTAAGAGGCCATTCGCGACCCAGCAATAGCTACGAGGGTGAGCCGTTAGGAGAGCTTGAGATCGAGAAGCTGATCATCCAGGATGCGCTGCTCCGGACTTGGAAAAAGAAAAAGTCGGCAGACAAGGGCCGGTGGCTTTGAACGAGATTTAATGCACACGGGCACAATGGAGAGGAGAGACGGTGAATTGACCCGAGCGATCGCATGGGTGAAAGTTGAAGCCACGTTTTAAGAGTACGTGGGTGTGAGTGAGGTCGAAAACAACCAGTGAAATGCACTAGACCAAAACGGGGCAACTCGATCGTTGCCGGGGACTTTGTACTTGGAGAATTTTTCCCCGAAAATCTTCCACTTCTCTTACATTTTCGTACGAAAGAGTAGCGGTTTTTCCAACGAAAAATGGCTTTACATGGTATTTTCGTCCCAAATACCATCCTTCGTCATTTCCACACGATTCCACAATTCTACTGGAGAGTCGCCTATGGAAATACTTATATTTTCTGAGAACGAATTAATACACGTACAGCCTGAGTTTGAGATCATCAGCAAGAAAGCTGAAGAGCCCCCGCGGGCCAATCTGCCACTCGAGATCGAACAAGATGAATATTCAATCAAGCTTCTTGGATTGCTTCAGTCTAGAGCAACACTTACTGGTAATGCTCCATACGACTGGAGTGCGTGGACTTAAATAATATTTTTGAGCTAGAAATTACTATGGCTTGGGGCTACAAGCTATACGACTAGGAATGAAAATGATACCGTCCTCCTGCAGAGTCCAACCGTGAACATCGAGTCCTCCGAGTCAGGTGTAAAAAGAAGAATGAATGGAAGAAGGTCGTCAACGAGAGCCTTATCCAGGTGGACCCAACCCGCCACTCTGGTAATTGAAAGAGACTTGCAGGGCAATCGAGAGATGTCAAGTCATATGGTAAAAATGAACTTTGTGCTTTGAAGCACATGAAAAACGTGGAAAACCGTGACTAGTTGAAGTGAAAAAAAGTGATTTGATGAAGCCTCCATCTCCGAAAGCAGCGGCAACGTGCCAGGACTAACACTTATTGGGCCAGCGGAGCCGGCACCCAAAGTGTTGGCGGAGCGAGCGACCGAGGTGGACTGCGCGTCGCCGAGGCAGCCCGGCAGTTAGCCGATGATCATGACGTGATCCCACTGTACATAGAACGTTTTGATTGGTAGCCTCACGAGGCTCGTGTGTGCACGGTATTTGCCGAAAGTGTCGTCAACTAACAATCATCTTATCGAGTCAACAATTATAATTTCGGTGGCTTCTGGAAAAAAAAAAAAATTAGACGAGACGCGCATCTAACTTCAGCTTGAAAGCTAATTGGTTGGAGGGAATCAAATTGTTCGAAAATCAATTTTTCAAACGATTTTTTACTCTTTTTTGGCAATAATTTGACAAATAACGTGATACATCATTCAAACGCGGAGGCATGGGCTGTCTCGTCTCGAAAAATTGTGAAAAATCGTCAAAAATGTTCAATTGGTACAAAAAATCCTGAGCTTTCTGGTGTACGAAAAATATATATCAACAATCATGGGCTTTTTTTTGTAAATTATACATCAATAACACAATAACTTCGATTGTTTGTGGTTGGATACAATATATAGAGTTGCTTTACATTTTTCACGTGTTATCAGAAAAAGTAAATTACTTAAAATAGTGTACCGATTTATAGAACATGTTGGAACTGTACCAACAATTTCCTTTTGTTCGTTATTTCCAAAAACACTATTTTATCGATACAAATAACCTCTTTTAGCTTCTGATCCTTCATTTTCAATTATGATTCGTCCGATTCTGGATTTTTATCCTGTGAACGCAACTTAGATCGATAATTGTTTCACAACGGTGTATATATATATTTTTTTTAGCATGTCCCAGTATGTTTTAGAGTAATTCAAGGTAATTAAATAAACAATCAGTTGTCCAAAATCTTTGACTCAATCTTTGGAAAATCAGAATAATTCCAATTCATCAATTACCTTAGCAATACGTGCAACACATTTTCTACTCTGTTTATGGTGTGGAGAATCAAATTTTTCATGTAATCTGTTGACGTTGACTACCCCCTCTAGCAAAAATTACTATTTTGTAGTCAAGTAGTACGGGGTATACTTAGTGGGCATTAAATATTTAGCATCTGAAAAATCTGGTTTCCACACACTATTGTAATGAATCTTTTTTCAACTGGTCCAAACGGAACTTTCAAGACAAACGACAGCAAAAAATCACATGGATTATTTATATCGAATATGCGGCGTGCGAAGTGATAATCGAATGAACCTATCGTCGTTGCGCCGCCCCGACAGCACGTGAACGTTGTATTTTGGCCGAAAGCTCCGAGGCTCGGAGTCCGGGTGTGATCCGGGCCGGATGTCCTGCTTATCTCCAAATCATGAATTCTCAAGCTAACCAAGAAAATCTCGCAATCAAACAAATTTATTGTAATAATATACTTTATGTATTATTTCTGTCATCTGCGTTTTGGTTTTTGCAAACTTATTTAATATTTAATTGATTTATTCGGCCTAGCGGCTCGGAACGATTAGGGTAAACCTGTTATATACATATGTATTATACAGCAACACCCCCTCCCTCACCTCATTAATTCCCGACCACCCGAAAGGATCCGAACATTCCGAACCAGTGCTAGTTTGAACTACTAGGCTGAACAAAACTATTGTTTGGATCACAGTTGAGTCAATTGTAATAGTTGAGCTTTTGCAAGTAGGTAGATATGTTACTTCGTGAAATCTTGTGTTTACCATCAGTTATAACGAAAGAATGGGCGACTTGAATTATTCCGAGCTTACTCGTCGTGGGCCTCCGAACCCAAATATGCCTTGGGAAGGAGCTGCTTCTCTTACCCCTACAGGCTACCCTACAGTCTATCGCGGCCGCGAGGTCATTCGACCCCTTGAAATACCAAATTATCATCCTCTTGTCGAGGACAGTCCAATCAACGATAATGGTACGTCACTTTGATTTTTCCTTGGATTTACATTAGTACATGGGTGTACTTACAGTGCAAATCTTACTTTTCGTTTTTTTCTTTTACATTTTTTTGGCATTCAATCAATTTTTATTTCAGATGCAATGGTCAAACAGATCATTGGCAAAGGCTGTGGTCTCGCCAGCTTAATCACAGAGAACTTGTTGATACATCCGTTTATTGTTTTAAGGAGGCAATGTCAAGTCAATCCCATTTCAAAAAAATATCACGTGGTGCCAATAACTTTGATACCTGTTATCATAAGGTTGCATCAAACACAAGGATTAAATACCCTTTGGAAGGGAATAGGCTCAGTTTTGCTTGTAAGGGGTCTGACTCTTGCTGTTGAAGATCTGGTCTCCAAAGTAACACCATGGCCCAAGTACACACTTATATTTTAATTTGTAAATAAAATTAACCAAGACAGAGAAATTCATCAAATTTACCTTTCAGAGAATTAACTCATCTTTCATTCAAAAGCTTAGGACAACACATTCTTTTGAAATGTGTATCCATTGGAGTAGTGACACCATTTTATTCAGCTTCATTGGTGGAAACTGTACAATCCGAAGTTGCCTCTGAAAGACCTGGTGTCTTGGATGTGTTCCGCGATGGTGCAATAAGATTACTCGATGTAGGAAACAAGGGGCGTCTCATTCCTATTTATGCCCTATTACCACCTACTATTGTATGTAGTGTTGTTAAATATCTCTTTACTATTTCTGTCAAATCAATTGCCAGTCACATCATGAGGACTAGGCATAAATATACTCAAGAATCGCAGGTAACTAAAAACGATATCAAATTCTATGACATAAACATCACTGTAAGTGTGTTTTTAAAATATTTTCTTTACTTATAGGGAGCATACAGTCGAGATTTGATATCCGAATCGGCTGCACAAGACATAGAAATACAATCTGTGTTGATTTCTATGTTCACAGCCGAAGTTATTTTTTATCCGTTTGAAACTGTAATTCAACGTCTCCATTTGCAGGGCACTCGTACTATAATAGATAATTTGGACACGGGGCGCAGTGTCACAGCTCTGCTAACGGATTATAGCGGAGCTGCAGATTGTTATCGTAATATCATTTCTACCGAAGGTCCCTTAGGATTGTACAAAGGTTTTGGAGCTTTGATTATGCAATTTGCTGTACATGTTTTAGTATTAAAATCCACTAAGTGGATTTTAACAGAAGTAGGTACATTTTTAAGACCTAAACAAAAAATACCGAAATCTGCACCACCGTCATATTATGAAATTTAAAAGATAAAAATATTAAAACCGATATTTTATTCATGATTTTTATGTAAAAATAGATTTTTTAAATGTAGAAATCTTGTATGATGTTTCTTTGCATAGAGTGCTGCACTTTAATTCGTAGCTTTCTGATTTTTTTTTTTTTTTAAGATCCTGTATATAAACGTTAAATTTGTTTAAATTTGTTAAAACAATTTTTATGTAAATACACAACTTCGCGGTTCTTTGATTCCTGTGGCATCGCATATTGTGAGTATATTAGATTATTGGATTTGCGACGCCACTAGAATTGTAGACATGCCCAAAACTTACTCTAATTTTATACATAGCTAGTCATAGACCTTTGTTGTAATCAAATTAATCAATCATTCTATAAATGTATACTATTTATAATTATACAGTGAACAAAACATTAAAGGGATTTCAAAAATATGTATTACTTTTTTAATAGTTTTATTATAAATATAAGTATTCATACACTTTAAATTCTCTGAAGCGAAATTATTTAAGAGTCAAATCATCACTTTTCAAACGACAATTTAACAAAGTTTCTTTTCAAGTTTTCTAAACAGAACGTAGAAAGTTATCTGGATTAAATTTTTTTTTTTTTTTAATATTTTCATTACTTACCTACCGCTATTTACAATATAATACAAAATAATCTTTATCTATTCATCAGGAGTCACTTTCAATTACAATTTTAAAATTAATTACACTGAGCTTTGATATTCCGATTAAATCTTTTGTTGAGTTAAAAACTTTTTTTGATATTAAAAATTGCATAGAAAAAGATAAGTAGCAAATAAAACAGACAAATGTAACAAAAAACCACCATATTAGAGTAAAAGACGTTTCTTTCTTGATGATTTAAAAAAAAAAACAAAAGATAGAATCAAAATGTACACGCAACACGTATTGTGTGTATACACCTACGAAAACGCCAATTGACAACGTTTTAAGTTTATTTTGTTAAATTAATAATTGAAATATCATTTGCTATCGGGGAGCAAATTAATAATTTGTAACATTTGATGTAAATAACATTCTTTAGAATCACGAAAATTTCGCTAAGGTTTCGCAACACTCATTAATGTCTCATGTTTTAATTGAATGTTAATTGTTTATCTGTTGCGCTTGCTGAAGTTCATCTTCAGCGGTCGTTTCTGCTCTCCTTATGTATTGAGGTTTCTCAAGATCTCGCACACAGCCTTCAGTTACATGAACAGTCATTACGTCACTTCCTGGTACTTCAAACATTGGTTCTAGTAAGAGTGATTCCATTATGGCCCTCAAACCTCGAGCTCCAGTTTTTCTTTCCATTGCCAGAGACGCAATGGCATCTAAAGCTTCTGGAGTGAATGTTAATTCGACCTGAAAAAAGAAAAAAATAAATACTTTTCTTATAATGTGTACTTTTTCAGTTAAAAACAAAAGTATAATCCTCACTTTGTCCATAGAAAATAACATTTGATACTGAGGGACCATGGCATTTTTAGGTTCCATCAAAATTCTCACTAGCATTTCTTTATTTAAAGTATGGAAGGGTACAAGCACTGGAAATCTACCAACAAACTCTGGAATCATACCAAAGTCAATAAGATCTCTTGCTTCCACTTGCCGCAAAAGTATATCTTTCTCTTTGTTATCGTCTTCTGTGGATGGTGACATGTTTGCTACATCTGCAAGACTTGCGGCTCTTCTTCCTGGGCTTTCAGATGCAGGTGTAGCCCCAAAACCAAGATATTTTTCGTTTTTTCTTCGCGATACTAATCTGTCCAATCCATTGTAGGCTCCAGAAGCAACGAATAAAATATTTGTAGTGTCCACTTGTAAAGTATCTCCTCTTAATTTTCTTGAGCTATTTCTTTCTGGCACGTTAACTATTGTTCCTTCTAACATTTTCAACATTCCTTGTTGAACACCTTCACCACCAACATCTCTCAATTGGTGGATTCCAGGTACCGCCCCTATTTTGTCAACTTCATCTAAGAAAACAATACCCATTTGTGCTTTATCAACAACATAATTGGCATCTTGAAGAAGCTTTGCGATCACACTTTCAATATCCTCTCCGACGTATCCTGCCTGAGTCAATGTAGTGCAATCACAAATGGCAAATGGAACATCCAGACACTGAGCAATAGTTTGAGCTAATAATGTTTTACCGGATCCGGTAGGACCCAACAGGAGGATATTACTTTTTTCTAACTTTAATTGGTGATGCTTGCTATCTAAAATATCTGACCCTGGTACAGTTTGAGAACTAGCGGATGGTTTTTGCTGATGATCATTGCCTGTAGGAACATGTTGAAAACCAACTCCAAGTGAATTTCCAATACTAGATATATGAAGGAGGTCTGCAAGAAAAAATGTAATTATTCCTTTGCTGTAAGAAACAAAAAAAAACTCTTCTTAAACATTTCTTAGTTTGATGCTAAAAAAAAAAATTTGGTAATGACTAAATTCTTATTTACGTGGCTTGAGACCTCTGTGAGTAAAAGGTTGATTCATTTGATCCTGACTTGCTGCTGGAGTCGCGTTGCTTTGCGCTGGTGCATTCTGAAGTGGTAAGTTGTTATGAATTCTTTTATAATGATTGTAAACAGCAACACTGAGAACTTTCTTTGCATACTCTTGACCAATGACATGTTTATTCAAATATTCGAAAATCTGAAAGGATTATTGTACTTTTTAATAACTCAAAATTTTCATTTAAAATTATAAAATAACGAATGATTACTTTTTTTGGTGGAGGTGGTGGTTTTCTGTAAAATCCTTGCTTGGGATCTTCTGGTCTTAAAGCTTCCTTGAGACTTTTCTTAGAATCAATTTCAGACAGGACAACAAAGAAATGGTGGCACTTTTCACACTTGACAAACCTAGTTGAAGCTAAAACAAAAACGAAAAACATTCGCACTTGTAGCCAATCCAAAAAAGGTTTTTAACATCATTCACACTTGCTGAATCAAATAACAAACTTACAGACGAATGTTTCAACATGAGTGCAAGGATCTCCACACTTTGGACATATAAGATTCTTTTTATCTCCACCACTGCCACCTGCTATCCCACCAGCACTTGCATTACTTATGTTTCCTTCATTGCTAGGAGGTGTAGGCTCAGTTGGAGCTTTTGACAGGATTCCAGTTGTAGTTAATGGTCGAGAAGCAACGATTCTCACTAATTTGTGTACTGAAGACAAATACAATATCAAATATTTTTACCATGATACAGACAAAATAATAGGTATAAAATCTTTAAACTTACCATGGTTGGAGACGTGATTTGACGAAGCTAACCTGCTGGCACCAATCAAGCAGCAGCGTACAGTGCTCATTTTTGCTTTATTTACAAAACTCAACTTACAATAATAGGAGCAAAACACTCAAACGAAAATGTATCCAAACTCTGTAACAGAAACGTTCTTTATGGCACAATATACAACAAGGTCAAGTAACAACTTGAACAAAGTTGATGCTTGAATTTTGCAATGTCGTAATATATATGTATCTACTAAGCCCTCGCGTTATCAGAGGAGAGAGACGGAGATAAAAGGAGGAAACAATCTTGCATTGCCCGTAAAAATTTCAAGTACAACAACGTACCCTATACTTATTAGATGATTACGAAAAAAAAGGGGCAACGTTACGTTACGAGAGGTTACACACATAGATGTCGATGATGCAGGTAGTGTGTACGTGCATTTTTTTTCATCTCATCTCTCACAGCTGATGAGAGATTATTTTTAAATGAATACAAAACAAAAAGAGAAGAGAAGGATGTGTCACGACGACGACGTCGACGATTCGCGCTACCTTGCGACGTAAAAAAAGCGCGTCTATCGTACTTAATATAGATATCATGTTTATATGATAAGTGCGCGACACCAAAATAACAAAAACAACACATTTGAACACTGTTATAGGTATAACAGGTATAACAATTTGCTAACCTGCACGCGCCTCTTCTCCCTCCTTTCGTTCACTCTGATCTATATATTCCTTTTTAAGATATACCAAACCAAACAAGGTAAAAATATACTCATATAGGATGATACACAATTTTTTTTTTAATCAGCACCAATTTATCATTGAATCGCAGCATCCGGAGCACACTCGATAATTTTGACAAAAATTTAATTCAGTATAAAATAAAAAAAAAAAAAAAAAACTGTTAATCGACCATAGGCAGCAGACAGAATGTAAATAGAGCACGATAAGACAGACTGCAGAAGTTTCGGAAAAAAAAATAGTGACAAAATGACAACAACAATAGTCATCGGCTGAGCCTTCTGCTGTCACGACAGCGATGAGAGATGAGAGAGAGAATGATCAGGCAAATGATAAAAAATATACTTAATCCCGATTTTATCTCGCTCACCTGTACGGCCGTACAACAACGATTACTTAGACCCGACAACAATTAAAATATATCAGTTGCTCCGAAAATGCACTGCAACTGGGGTACGTCTGCTTACTTATGTATAGAAGTCGACACAGTGCAGCCTTGCCGCTGCTGCTGCTGCATATCATCCGCACGCGCGCTTGCAAGTATAATGCAATATACATGTATATTATGAAAACATAAATATACTACTTACAGCTGATGGTGACGAGGTCGTCGCCGCAATCTATATAGATATATGCCCAATTTATGTCTGTCACACTTGTAATTATTGACGTAAATCTTGGTTACTTTATCATCGTAATCTATCCGCAGATCAATTGCAACTGGACTGACTGATAAGCAGCCCGTCCTTCGGAATGAGCCCAAGCACTCTACAGCAGAGAAACAAGCGACTCTGTCACCTACGCCGTGTAAATAAAATGCAAAAAGGTGTTCGTGCGTAAAAATATCAGAAAATAATAACAACAATCAGCTACGTATAACGAGTGGCGGAGCAGCAGCTTGTATGATACGTCTACACACACCAGAGATTAGTTATGTACACGTTGTACAATAATATAGTGCAGCTCGTAATATATACCTATTATACCTACGCTCGGGGCATCGTGCCACCTCATCCGACTTTACTTATGGTCATTTACATCCAATATGGTCCATGCCCGGATCCGTAACCACCCACCCACATATTTGTCCAAAGTAAGATCAACCCTCATCATCGATTGTACATTAGTTGTTCGATGGTTAAACTACTTGGTCATCGATTGCGTTTTTCTACTTTTAAAAAGGGCGTTAAATTACGAGAGCTTTTTACTTTAAAAACCAGCTGCTCCAAAAAATCATATATTTTCCCGCGCGGGAGCTTTGTTGCGATAGAACGATCGATGTATCGAAAAATCTTACGCTAATCAATAGTTTTATTAGTAAATAGTATCGTAATATGCGTCATATTGATTTGTTAATATTTTATTGTTGATCGAGGACGTTCCGCTGCTTAAAGTTTGATGTTTAAATAGGAATAAACATCATCGACATCGACTGTGTCACTTTAATTCGATGTATCGCAAAAATCGATTAAAGCTCCTCTATTTTTTACAATGTCATCCAAGATGGCGCAATCGGTATTATTGTAGGTAAGAGTTTTCACCTATAAAGTGGAAAATCGCGGCAATACATTTCGCTGAAATATCCCAGCCGATGAAAATGCTTATAAAACTTTTTTTTCTCCATGCTTGAATATTTCATCGCACATATTGTTAAAGAAAAGTTTTTGATTTCAATACATAAAAAAAAGGTTGAAATCGATGTTAATAACGTACGAACCATCACATACTTACATTAATTTCATATTTGCTCTACTCAGTGAGAAACCAAGGTTTAAATTTTACTTTTCACTCAACAAACTTTGCATTACAGCATTCCTTTTTTGAAATCGAGATTATTTTGGCGCTGGTTTCCTCAGCCAATCAGATGAAAAATGCATGCGTGTCGTCTGCTCGTTTTTTTACAAACATTCGAGAGGCAGCAGCACGCGTGTGGTCAACATAAGTATTACAACAGAAATATCGGCATTTAAATGTAAATAAAGTTAACTTAAAATATGGTTTTTGGCATTTATACTTGACCAAGTGAAAAAGTGGATTGTTAGAAAAATGAAACGTCCTTAGTTTCCGGATTAGCATAAGTTCCGTTCTATTTTTTGTTAACTAAAAATTGCTCTTAAATGTTCTAAGTCACATCGGAGTATGCCTTTATAATATTTTATAATTATTATTATTGCAGTAGTTGGCCAATTAGTACGTTAGGTTACTTATACATACCACTAGTTATTTGTTGGTTTTTTTTGTATCATACAATTAAGATACTATTAAGTGCCAAGTAATTACTTTGCTACACATTAAATGCCGTACTATTGTAGCATTTTTCATTTTATTAACCAGCCCCGGGTTATCTGGTGGTAGGCGCTTGGGCTGTTAATTTATTTTTAATTTGTTAATAAACTGGCTAGTAAGTGCCTTGGGTCATATGGGGAAATGCGCTGTAGTTATATGTTATATTTTTATCATCAAATAAATTGGATATCAAGCTCCCTGGGTTATTTAGTAGTTTTTTCTCATTATTTTTATGTGTTGCAAGTCGTTTGGATCTTTATTTTAAAGATTTTGCAATCTGATGAGTATGATTTATGTATACAGTTATAAGTTGAGCGTGTATTTAAAATATTGTTAGGTTTTATTTATCTGAATTATAGGGTTATTTGGTTTAAGAGGTTTTGGGTACTGAGTTATTAGGTTAAAAAGCTTGGGATTTAGTTAGTTGGTTTTAGCACATTTGAATTTGCCGCTTAGCGCGCATTAACTCTGGCCGCAGGGCGTCAGTTCAGGTGGCGGTACTGTGACGGTCACGTCTTCGGTTTTCTGCCGCAGGCGAGAGCACTGTGCGAACTTCACTTTACGTGGACATACTTCATTTGAACTAACCTTATATCCACGTAATTACGTGGATTTGGTGCGAATAGACACAGCGAATGAGTAAACCCGAAATAAATAATCAGGTATGTTGGCTTGTTTACTCGCTCCTCATAGTTGTATACATCTGAATTTTTTACCATACTTACTGTTCTTACTTCATTCATTGTCAAATTGCGGCTAATAAATTAATTGTTTTAGTTATCATTCATAATTTTTTTCTCCAAATCTAAACTTATAACATCTGATTTCGTAATTTCAAACTAGTCATTTTTTTAGGTTATTTGCTGTAGTTTTTTATTATTTCTCATGTTAACAATTTTTTTATTTTTTCTAGATTGTGCTTATGCGCAAGGATGCACTTCAGGCACGTGTGCACGTTATCAAAAAACTTTCAAGAGATGCCCAGAAATTGCGCAGTAAGAAAGGTACAGAAGCGGAAAAAGCAAAAAATCTCAGAAAAGCAGATAGGATAGCTGCTGAAATTCTTGCAGCAAAAAAGGTTCAAAAGGATGAATTTACAATTTTTGCCTTGACGAATTCAATGACACTAGAAGAAATTCTTACGGACCAGAAGTCAGAACCGTTGACAAAATTCAAAGCGAGAATTGCATACAATAAGAAATTTCAACAAAAAATTGCAGGTTTCAAAGAAAAATATCCCAATTACCTGGAATTTTTAAAACCTGGTAAGAAAAAAAAAGTGAAGCTTGAAAGAAAACAAAAGAAAGAGTTAAAAAAGAGTCAAGAAGTCAAAAATAGTTCTAAAAAGGATGGGAAAAAGGTAAAAAAAGCTAATGAGAAATTCATCGATGTGCCTGATAAAAGTGACGAAGAAAAATCAATAAGTGAAAATGATACTGATTGCGAATTTGAAAGCGATAACGAAGTTTTGGATACAAGTATTGCTAAAAAAGCATGTAAAAAGAAACACAACAATTCAGAAGTAGAGTCGTTTGAAAGTTTAGAAATCAAGAAACCTAAAAAATCATCTGATAAACTAAAAACACAGGAAAATATAAAATCTGCTGAAAAATTAGATTCTTTTAAATCAAAAAGTTTGAAGAAAAAACAAAAAGTGGATGTTACTAAAACTATTAGTAAAAAAGCAATTAGTGAAAAGTACGATGAAACAGAGAAAAGTGATGATAATTCATGTGAAAATCAGGATCATGAGATGGATTCCATTGATTCAGAGGAAGAGGGGAATAAAGAAGCTCACCCATTTTTTATTACGGGAAATGAAAAGAAAGAAGATGTGACGTTGAATAAAAAATCGGATTTAGCTGAATCCAAAAAGTTGAATAAGAAAAAAAAGAAAATGATGAATATTACTAAAACTATTAGTAAATTAGCAACAGTTAAAAAATTCCATGAAATGTTGGAGGAGGATGATATCAATTTACAAGAAAATCAAAATGACAAGGTAGAGGATTCTAGCAGTTTAAAGACGGATGTAGAAAAAGAAGCTGATCCATTCTTCATCACAGAAAATGGAAAATCGGACTTTTTAAGTGTAGCTCCACGTCAAAGAAAAATAGACCCCGAAGAAGAAAAAGCAAACGAATCTTCACAGTTTAATTCCAGTGCTTCGCGAGAACATTTTAATAAATTCTCCAAATTCAAAAACAACGACTCAAAGTTTAACTCTAATCCTAAATGGAAAAATCAGCACACGTTTGAAAATAATAAATCTGACTTTAAATGGAAAGGTCAACAGAACAACAAATCCAGATTTGATAGCGACAAACCGTACTACAATAGGAAAAATGAAAACTCTCATGGGACAGACAAGAGGGTGAACTTTAATAAATCAAACGATGAAAGCCAACACAAGCAAATGTCAAGGAAGGAAAGGAGATCTCAAAAAGTGGAAGTCGATGACACCAAGAATCTACATCCATCGTGGGAAGCCAAGAAGAAGCAGCAGGATGCACTGAAACTAGGGTTCCAGGGGAAAAAAATTGTTTTTGGCGATGATTAAAGCAATGAGGTTATTAAGTTTTGTTATTATACCCGTTGTAACACACATTATTGTACATACTTGTATTTTACATGAAAAATAGATTGCGCGATCGTTAAAAATAATGTACAAATGCATTTTTTATTTTCGTGACGAAGCAATAAAAAATGAAAGCTACATTGATGATAAAAAATGGTTTTTTTAATTTATTGTTCCCATCATCGATCGAACTACTTACAAAAAGAGTTTGATTCAACGCAGACAAAAAAAAAAGTGGACGTAAGTAGGTAAAATGAAGCATCCGCTTGACTGCGTACAAAATGAGGTATAAATTTGAGACGAGGGCTATTTTTTCTTGGACAGGGTCCGTTGTTTCTCGGCGTGAGTGACGAGCTGCGAGTCGACCGGGAGGCCTTTTCTCCGGCGCACGGCGTCGATGTACCTCTTGGCGCGATTTCCGCTGTCCGCCTTCTCGCCGAAGTGCAGGTACTCCTCTTCCGTCGACGGCACCCAGAAGGGGTCCTGCTCGATCACCTGAAACGTCATGCGAGACCGTGAGAATTTTTCCCCGACAGCAGCGCGTGCGTCTCTTAAAGCCTATTATGCCGTGCACACACACACGCACACGACTAATATTACATTGTCAAAATTTAACGGGCACGTGCACCTTTCGTTCTCACTTTAAACGGCTTCTTTTCAATAAACATCCTTTTTCAAAAAGCTGCTCCCCTCCCTCGCAGTCGTCGCGCTCCCTTTTCACGCGCTTCTCTTTCAGCCCTTATACTTATATGTACACATTTGTTTATCTTTGTCAAATAAACTTTCACCCCCTGGTCATCGACACGTCGATATTTTCAGAAATAACAAGCATATTTGTGTAATGTACGGCGGATGAATTTTCCAACGAAATTTCCCCGTTTGCCGTGAATTTCGACAAAATTACAGCTGTATTAGCAACGAAACATAATAAATAAGTATACGCAACGTCTGAGAAATATGTACGTTTACAGTGTATCAAAACATCTGTATGAGGTGAAAGCTTGAGCGATGACATTGTTGAGATTCTCAACTTTCAAACGCAAAAATTTCATTTCATTCAAGTACATTATACGTACATTTATCGAGTAAAATAAAGGGAAGCTAAATTAAGCAAGGTTTACTAAACTCGATTATTTTATATACATATAAAAAGTAGCGTTTTTCTTTAAAATTTCTAACCTTATATCCACGTAATTACGTGGATTTGGTGCGAATAGACACAGCGAATGAGTAAACCCGAAATAAATAATCAGGTATGTTGGCTTGTTTACTCGCTCCTCATAGTTGTATACATCTGAATTTTTTACCATACTTACTGTTCTTANAAGTTTCTGAATATTTAATAAAACATTTTATTTAAATTTCAATGCAGCTTACTTTAGCTTAAAAATACATTTTTCAGTTGAATATTGAATTTCCAAAAGTAAGAATATTTTATGAAATTTGAGAAAACGTATAAAACGTCGTCAAAATGATGTCACGTATTTTGCAAATTGCTTCAAACGTATTTGTGTAATATTTACCAGATATTTTTTTTTTGAACATTGTACATGTGTATGAACTTCCTATGGGATAAAAATAATGAAATAAAAAAATAACGTTATGAAACTGTATTAAATGTACACAAACATGAAATAAAAGAAAAAGCTAAGAGAATTGTCAATTTCGCAAAAAGTGGGGATTGAATGAATGACATCTCCAAAAAGATGAGATAAAAGGCCCCATAGGGATGCAGAGGCTCGAGAAAAGGGAAACCGGAGCGGACCGGTTGTTTGAAAAAAAAAAAAAAAAAAAACTGGAGAGCAGCCAATTAGCGTGCGCGTATATTGGTATACAGCTACATGTAGCCAGCCGGGGAGGAGCGAGTGGACAAAAATACAACTTCCTCCCATGTGAAAAATGTAAATTGCTCGGGGGGGTCGTTACGAAGGAGACGGAGGAGGAAGGATGGAAAAAAAAAAAAAGGAAAACGCAAGCACCTACACACACGGCCAAAAGATGGTATAGATAATTCGTACCACGGGAGCATCAGCGGGGGCTACCGGAATTTTGTGAATGAGAGGCGCGCGCTAGCGGCCTGCCGCGAATACAAACAGGCTGCCTGCACACACACCCGAGGCCCCTGCTGCTTCTTGCTGCCTTTATTATCTGTACCGTCCCATCCCGCATGTATGTATAGTACGGCACAGGGCCTTGCGTAAGCCGGTAGCACCACTCCGAATTAGGCTCCCCTTCCTATATATATACCTACTCTCTCTTCCTTTTCTTTTCTTCTCTTATTCCTTGCTTGTTTCTTTGCTTTTTTTCCCCTCTTCCTCCCTGATCTCCTTTCAGGACTTTCGGATCCTCGCGAGCCCCAGCCTCCCCGGGCCTCATCCCACCTTGCATTCCTTTATTTTCATTATTCCCCGATTTTTTTTCTTTTTTTTTTTTTTTTCTTCCTTCATGGCTCGTCTTTCGCTTCCTTCATCGTTTTCTTCTTAACACCTTCGTTATCGACTATATACACTCCTATTCGTATTTTTTCTATCTTTTGCTCGACATCTTTCCGATCCTCCGGAAGGGGGGGGAGAAATTTATGGCAAATATAATCTGCAAGTATTATATTTTTAACCGGAAACCCGACCCTTTTTTTCTCTCTCTCCCTTCTCGCGATAACCAAAAGAAACTGCGAATTCACGGGGATATATATATATTTTTTTTTCTATTTCTTACATAATATACTTATGTCGTATAGGTACGCATCCTCTTAAAAAAAGAAATTGTTGCTCCGATGGCTGATTTCGTAAGAAAATAACACACGCGCGAGTAAAGAGTAATGGGCATATCGAAGGTGGCCGGGATTTGTCGGATCGCAGGGGCGCTGTGAAAAATGCGGGCTCATTGAAATAGCCGTGAGGCGCGGACACCTGCCTCCAGGTTCCCAGGAGTCGAGGAGTGTATAGCCCAAGAGGAGGAGGAGGATACGTGTATATAGTGCACTTGGCCGGTGCGAGATTCAGCATGTGTATACGGGGCATCGGGAGGCTGCGGGGCAGCCCGAGAGCAGATGGCCGGAGCGAGGGAGAAAAAAAAAAAAAAATAATAAAAGCTCGTAAAAGGGAGAAAATTTGTTTTCTCATTTCCGAGCAACCTGCACTCCGTTGTGTCTCCTCGCAAGTATACCCATATACACTCGCATACAATCACGTACTGGATCAGCGCGACAAACAACCACGGCTAATTTTTCCTCTGGGAAACAAAGTATAGACGATGCACCCGAAGCGTCACGATATTCGTTTGTACATTTTCGATTCGTATGCATCATGTTGCCGAGTCCTCGTACGGATGAATAAGTATTACAATTTTTGAACGAAGGCTGCAGCGGGAAAAGGTATACGAGCATTTTCCTTTTTTTTCTCAAACTTCAACACAGGTATGGGTACTTAATTTATCTCGGAGCTCGGGCGAGCGGTACAACTCATTCTCGTTTACAGGAAGTTCCTTCTCGGCGATATCACCTAGCCTCCTTCTCCATCCGATGCTCACGTCTCTCTCTCTCTCTCTCTCCGCACCTTTTTCTACCTCCTTTCTTTCATACGGCGTATATGTATATACGTCCTCGTCCCATTATTCGGCCTCGGCTGCTTCTCTTCTCGCTGTATGTATAGCTGTGACGGTGCCACCTTCCCCTGTATTATATATTTATACGTAAGCTCAAAAGTACACATCGGTAGCGTATATACTATACAGGTAGTTTGCGTTTTTACTCCACACATTTACGTTTACGTACCTTTCCGGCGTACCGATACTTTAATTCCGCCTCGTCGTACCGAGAAAAATCTCTTTTTTTAGTACGCACGTACTGCCGCTACCGGATTTTTTTTTTTTTTTATTGTGTACGGTACAATACTCTATAACTGCTGTACCTCCTTGCAGCCTCAGCTGTATATAAATATATGTATACATACGGACAACGGTAATCCGAATAACCTTTGAGCCCGCGCTGATGCAGCTCTTGGGCGGTGATCGATTTATAAAAATGTATATAGGTACCAAATTGCCAAGGGTTTGACGAAAATTAATTGTTTTCCCCTTCGAGTGACGAAGTGGACCAACGAAGCACCAAAATGACAATGACCCGGAGTAAAAATAATCCATTGCGTCCCTAAAAGAGAGAATTTCGCCCAAGTGTTGTGTCCTGACAATGCCTCCTTTTCACACGACCAAATTGGCGATCGAGTTGATAACCCCTTGGTTTGTAAATTTGTAAGCTTATTCAACTAATCGCGAGCATGTATACTTGCATTATGTCCGAGTGATTGGGATGCCTGGTACATCGATATTTTTTACATAAACACGAGCTTGCACACACTGATTTGAATAAACGTAACGAGTGCCGCATTGAAATTACAGTACATACAAGTCTCACGAGTATGAAGTAATTATCTGTCAAAGTTATTGATTTTTTGCAGTGTTCCCATAGTAGACACATTTCATTGTTGAGAACTAGCTACATTTTTACGTGGAAAGTTTCTTTGAAAATAATTGTATCAATAGTAAGTCTTCAAGTATTATGTGCGTATTTTTGGATTTTAGAACAAAAAGTTCGGTAAAAAAGAAATTTAAACTCAAGTCGGAGCGAATGCATGCATGTAAAAAAAAGAAAAAAAATTATTTTCAATCATTACTCCAACAGTCAAAACTGCGGATGTACAGTAAATTAACCAAAATATTTTATGACAGTTTCAACAAATCGTACATACCCACCACAATTAGTTTAGATTCGACACATCTACATTTATTGCACCGCTATAAGTATAAAGGTGAATGTCCCAATTATCAATCATATTTCTTTATACCTTAATATATAAATTTTATCAAACATAAAACTGTATTGGGGCTCCAAAAAATCATTTTTTTTTTATTTTTTTTTTTTTTTTTAATATAAATCCACGTTGTTATTCATTGAAAATACATCCGAGGCCTATGTATAAAAAAAAAAAAAAAAAAAAAAAAGTGACCGATAATTGGGACATATTCACCTTATTCCTTTTTCATGTACAGATATGATACGAACATTAACATGTGTGCACAACTAAATTGCAGAGTGGAAAGCACCGATTGGCGCACAGTGACGGGAGGACACTGCAGACCGGGCTTTGGGTAAAATTTGTCCACCCGGAAGAGGCGCATACCTATACCACGAGCTGCAACAATAAGCCGCCCATGTACACCAATTCACCGCGTCAAAAATTACCCGACACACATATCCCGTATCTTAATACGAAAAAAAAAAGGTATCACCCGTTTCGCGCCGTACACATACAGCAGAGCGGATGAGGCCCGATGGTAATGGCTCCTCCGCAAACAATAGGCAAATACATGTATATTATACACTCCCCGGCAAGCCGAGCCAGTGGGGGCCCCGGGGGAATATCATGGCTTCTGACAGCAACAGAGCAATATCCCCGGGACTCGATTCCGCGGCCGCAGTGGGCCCCGAGCTTCCGGGAACGCGGGCATACCCGTAAAATCGCATCTCCAGCCGTGATGGATGTATATGTATATACACTGGCCCCGGACGTATACCTACATTTATATTATACATGGGTATAGGTGTAACATGGCCCAAAGCAGCTCCCGCCCTCGGCACCGTTACCATCTTACCGGCCAAAGGGGGCTGGGGGTGTAAGTTTCAAGCACCCGCGGTGCCATTGTTCGGGCCACAAAGGGCCGACAATGTAGCGGTGACAGCGCCAGATAGCCCCCGTATACATATATTCATTCGGAGGGATACACGCATACCCATGCATATATATATACATACACATACATCACGTGCTGCATGCGCATACACGGGAAACGACGACAAACAGGAGCCGTTCGCCTCTTCTCGGTTCCCGCGTGCTTGTATAGCCGTGAAGTGCTGGTGCGTACATACATGGGGGTGTATTGTTGTATCGACCGACCGAAGAGTCAAGTTCTATCGACGGATGGCTGGCCGCCTTCCTCTTGTAACTGCTTCCCCCGCTGCAGTTTCCCGCCGTCGTCGTACATCAGCTATACCGACTACATACTTGTCTACTTTTTACATGATGGTACACAGGTATTCTAGTGGATACATCAGGAATATGATCGTTGTTCAAAAATGTTGAATAATTAAAGTATATCTGAGTTTTTTTTGCCTATACATCTGTGTGATGGATCGACTATATACATCAGCTGCTGTGATATTTTTTTTTTCTCATTTTTCTGACAGCGGAAAAATTCGATTTTTCTACATCACAACTATACACAACTTGATTTGCAAATAATCGTAAAATTACAGTGTGCGTAAAAATTACAAACAAAATATGCATGTAGTATACCTTTCGAAACTTTTGTATGCATTTACTTACATACCTTTTGCAAAAATCATACATCGTATTACTACTATATTTTAGTAACTATTTTCGTGAAATTTTAGACAAGTCATGTGTGCCTGTAGTTAAAATTAGCGGAAACGCATCTTACTTATGGCTAGCGGATTTCCCAAGCTTAGTTCAGTCACGTAAGCTTCCGCTGAAATTTTCCTGTCACATTGGGCACGACTCTCGAGTTTAAATCGCATTCGACTGAAAAATACATTCATTCACACCGACTTACACTCGAGAACAGCTATTTTGCCAAGAAATACACGAATGAATTCCGTCCGATGATTTTATTAGCGAGTAATATAACCGCACCCATGAAAGGATTTGTTCGCTCGATAATTATTTCGAGAATTATTTGGTAAAAACACGATACAAATGAGCTTGATCAAGAAACTAAAAATTTTTTTTTTTGCTATTTACGAAAATGATGCGACGTTTATTTGACCAAGCTTACGTGTACAACATTTAAAACGATTAAAAATGTGTAAAAATACCGCCAGAGAATAAATAAGTGTGGATTGTTACCTTGTGCTTTTACGATAAGTCAAATCATGTTCATGACAAACAAAGAGTAGCCTCTAGCGAGACAATATTCTACTAATAAAAATATCAACAGAAAATAAAATTGTTTGATTAATCATATCATTTTCATGGCAACTAAGGGAAGCATAAATTATATCTCACTTCAGTGCCAATTATATTTTTAACCCCAGGCAATCAACGCCAGGAAATAAACCTATTCTAATGCTATTCGATATTTTAACGTAAAGACTATACTTTTCTTCCAAGGTTTTGGGAAATCCAAAGAAAAAAGTTAAATTCATCAAAATTAAAAGGACTTTACGACTGTTCGCTCTTTGTAATGTCGTGGATACAAACGTAACAGAAAGAGCCACGTCGCGGCAAAGGAAGAAAAAAAAAAAAAAAAAAAAAAAAAAATCCGAAAGGTAAGCTAAAAAAGTGTCGTTCCGAGCGCGCGAGCCTCAAAACAGGATATGGAGAAAAGTGTCACGTGCCAGCATCATCGGAACGGAAGCGAATTAGAATAACGCAATCGCAAACGAGCCAGCGAATCGTATAGAGCAGGAAAAAAAAAAAAAAAAAGAAAAAAAAGATGCAGGTACAGCGGAAGCAAGGCTCCGTGACATTGCCGCAGCTGTTCCCGGTATACTTATGTATATACATATACTTTGTGCAAAAGCACAGGTTGCCAATACGGCCGACTAATCCGCTGATCATTGAAAACGGAGGGAGGGGGAAAGGGAGCGCGGCATAGAGAAGAAATTCGCTTACCTCCCAGTGGCTGAACACGAGCTGGGGACTGGCCAGGCCGGAGGTTTGGGTGCGCAACTCGCTGGCGAGGTGGAAGCTCTCGGGCACGGGCAGGGTCGCCAACACGCGGAACTGCCCGCCGAAGCCCGCGCTCTCGGCTGATATCACTCGGCCCTGCCTCCTCCCGAATACCGCGTACATTTTACCTGTAACATAATAATGTCAACATATACATATCATTTACCATCTTCAAATAATCACAGAGGAAATTTACACAACCTATCACGAATTTACACAGTCGAAATTCAATTTAATTTTTTTCAATTCAATATTGTTTTCGTTTTGTTTATCGGCACACATTGAATTAAAATATACTGCATGATTCAACTGTGTTACAACAGCTCGTCATCTGTTTTCGTTACGTCAACGTTGGGTATACCTACTTCAAACGATGCCGCGGTGACCAAGACTCTTAAAAAGCTATATACTCTCCAATTTTGAGCATATACAGGTAATTATAGGTATAATAAGTAGGTACGCCATGGAATGTAAGTCGACATTTTTTGGTAATTCATTGAAATTGATGTAAATACTAAGTTGGCCTATTAACTCCATGTCATCGTATTTAATTATCATCGGTGCGATGGTATTTCGTTAATTTTTCTTTTTCATTTTCTTCCAGTGATCTTCCTTTAATACTCTGTAGGAAAAGCAAAGATTTTGCAACCCACGACGTTTGTCATCGATAAGTACTATTATAATTTAGTGATTTTTTTCAACTATGAGTCGAAACGAAAAGTAAAAAAATTCATATGGTGTGTGCTTTTTAAATGCAAAGGAGGTAAGAAAAAAAAGAAGGGAAGGAGGATGGGAGGCGTCATTAAAGTTCTGTTTAATGGTTTTGGGGCCGGAAGTGTCGTACACTTTAAATTCGTCAAAGGGTTCGGAAGAAGAAGAAAACGAAAGAGACAAGAAAGAAGTTATCGGCCAAATGGAGCGAAAGAAAGCTCGTAGAAAGGAAAGACGATGGAATATAATTAAAGAAAAAAAAAAAAAAAAAAAAAAAAACGACCATGGCCGGAGTAATGGGCTATCCGAGAGGATTTTATTTTTTCTGTTAATTGGATCCCTGAACGATTTCCGGGCTCCCCCATGCATTTATATATCATATACTTGTACGTTGGATCTACACGTTGAAGTGACGACACTTGACTCTTGTTCTCGAGCATAATTTTATTTTTTTTTTTTTTTCCCTCGATTGATGACGAGATATTTGTCTTGGCTCGACTATATGGTCAAGTGGGAGATGAGATGGATGGACGATGATTCAACTTCAAATCTACTGGAAAATTCTACAAAGAAAAAACACACTTGGCTCGAGAATTCTACACGCGTACAACCTTCGCTTGACGCGTGTTATTCAAAGACAAGATTATTTAGCGCAAGAGAAACATATAGGTACATTTACATCTCACGATGAAATGAAAGTTGCGGGGAATATTTAATCGACAGGTGTTTCTAAGCTAAAAGATTTCGCGTCTGCTCTTAACGCTTTCGGGTAAATTTGTATGATGATCAAAATTAACGTTAAAATATACATTAACCCGTTAAAAAATCGGTACTTGCGTTATTTTTCTTGAACATGATTTCGATTTTTTTTTTTTTTTTGCGATACGAGTTGCGTACAGATGTAGTGGATTGATATTAAATTTCAAGAGACAACTTTCAATATACCCGTACATTCGTGGAAGCTACGCGAGAGAAAAAAGGCTGATTAAATTATACATTAATTTTGTGGATTTAAAGTAAAGAGATCAAGTGCGCTCTGTTGCGGTGGCGCATAAGTAAACTTTTACTTTTTCCTGACGCATACGTCACTCATTTGATACACAATGTAAATATACGTCATAGTGGGAAAACACCATCGTATCATCATCATCAAACACATCATATTTTTCGTCAATCGCACGATCGAATCGCATATTAATTTCCTCTAAAAATCAAATATTGGTCGACGGAGACGTAATGCCATATGGTTATGGTTAAAAAACAAGTAGGTGCAGGTACGAAAACATAATTTGAACTATTGTAATCGCATAATGTGCAAAAATAACGATATTTAACGATTGATGGAGAGCGAGATCGTGTTTAAATACAAATCAACGTTCGGTTGGGCGGAAAAAAAAAAAAAAAAAAAAAACCACCGCGTCGAAGAATGGTGTAAGTATTGCTTATTTAATGTGTTATGTCCTGTGTAAAATTTTCCGGCGTAGGATTGAACGCGCACGGTATAATATACATATATTTCCATAACACATATACGTGCCGAAGAGAGATACATTTGTGTGCGCTTGTAACACACACACACACACACACACGAGCCGAGAGAGCTGCAAAGTGAGTTCTCCGCACAAGTATCTCGGGAGAGAGAGAGAGAGAGAGGAAGGCCGTTTGTTTGGGCTGGCCTTAACTCGGACTTCCGGTCGCACCCTGCGGCACCTGCGCGCACCTGTCCCCTTCCTCCCTCCCCCGCCTTTCCCCCGACCGGCCGATAACTTCTCTCTTTCTCGCGTGTATATATATACTTACGCGCTCGTATATATACTTATGTGATCTCCCTCTCGAGAGCGCGGTTTGTACATTACCCTCCGGAGCTTCACTCCTTTTCGAAATCCAAATTAAGCACCGGCTGGAGATTCAGCTTTCCCTCTCCTCCTCCTGCCCTTTTTTTTTTTTTTTACATCTCCTGCTGGCCTGTACAGCCGATCCTGGCTTGCATATAGTATATACACAGTTGTGCGAGCGTGTGTATAGGTACGTGTTTGCGTGTCCGAGAGAGCCGCAAGAGTCGACGGAGGGGCAAGTGAATGGAGCGAGCGCAGCCTCCAATGCCTCCATCAATGAACCAGTGGCTCTCAACCTTCATTCATAATATACCTACTTGCCCCCCCTCCTCCCTCCACTATATACTCACTCTCTCTCTGTACACGAACCACTTCTCCGTCGATCGTGTTTTTCATTCTCGCAACTTCAACGAGCATAGGTACTTTCAGCCAACCATCCGCATTTTCCCTCTCTCTCTCTCTCTCTCTCGGTTTTATTTATTATTTCATGTACGATTCTCCGGAAAAAGAGGTACAAGTATATCTTTCGCTGTTGCAAAACCGCCGAGCTTGTCGCGGTCTTTTCTCCTTACTCGTTTATCCCGCAGTCATCTCCGCTGCAACACTATTTTCCAAAGACCCATCGCAAGTATCCTTTGTTAATTTTTCATCGATAAAACAATCAAGTGCCACGTACGCGATAGTAATTTTTATTGCTACTGTTGCTTTCGATGAACAAATTTTTACGGAAATTAAAGTATAATACCTCGCGAAGATCTGTATAACAAGTGGTTGCACGAAGTGAAACGTATGTTCCGAGCGTATAGGTATAGCATTCATCGAGCAGTTAAAATAAGAAAACCACCAGAGTGGGGATGAAACGAAAAAAAAAAAAACAAGCTAATTTTAGTGAGTGCACTGAAGGCCGTATATTTATGTATACGTATCGTGTATGATAAATACATTATATATGAATAGGTTTACGGAGGGAGGGAGGGAGGGCTGATTGCGAGGGCAAGTGTGCAGGTTCTCGCGGACGACGACGCGGTCGGACATCGGCCTTATATACGCTCGTGTCGTTCGATACACGCGCGCGCGAAATTATGAGGCCGCCCACGCGTTCGACAGTCAGCGTAGGCCGAGCTAATGTGTGCCATCTCTTGATGCAGCTCGCACGATGCTGCTGACGCTTGAAAAAAAAAAAAAAAAAAAAAAAAACTGCGCTACCGCTTGTTGCTTGAGAACACGTACAACATGACACGTTGTGTAGTATAGGTGCACTCGCACCTGCGCGCCGATAGGTATGTAAGGAAGGCACCAATCAGGGGAGAAAATCTATATTATATTGTTGCATGCTATATGACTTGATACTATTGAATATATAAGGGAAGATAATATAGGTATAGAAACGAGGGATGTATATTAGATGCGTTACATACAGGGTGGCAGAACCATTTGCAAACCACAAGTTGAATCAGAAAAATCGTGGTCATCCAAAAGAAGCCGAGGTCACGTACTTTTTTTAGAGCGTTGAAATACTGGTGGTTGTATTTTGTAGGAAAAGTCTAAATTATTAATAAACGACTATTTTAAATTCTTCGGTTAATGACTTTATAGAAGTATAAATTACTATTGTATCCCAAATGAGAGTTTTTCAGAAAAGATATACACCTAATCTGTTCTTGATAAATGTGTACGTCGGAATATTTAGAATATAAGTATAACCATTTCTACCGTGCATTACATTTACGATAACAACAGGAAGATTTGGTTTCTTTAACTCAAGAATTTTTAAGCGGGATCGATTCTTATTTAAAAATTTTTTTTTTTTTTTTTTTAACAGTTCTTCTCTACGGTTAAACCATCTGGACATTCACCTTAGTCCACAACGACATGCATTAAAGTAATCAAAATTCCCTTGAACCCCTCGAAAGTGACACATTATCCCCAAGAAGCTGCAACAGTATTATAAAATCTCTCCGTGTTGTCGTCGCGTAGAAATTTTCCACCCGACTCGGCTTATTGACCATCATCAAACGCACACTCGACGTGGATACGTGTCCACTCGGTGCTTAAATCGCTCGGAAGGGAACAACAAGTTCATCAGGCGCATGAACACGCGGAATGCGCGCACTTGATTTCCAAAACATTGTTTTTTTTTTTTTTT